AAAAAGATATTCTTTATAAAAGTTGAGTTAACCATGCCTACCTAAAATGGCTCGTTCTAACACGCCCCCCACATGTCTACGTCACGATGTGGGAAGATTTGCATAACGCCGCCTCAGGGTCGTCACATGTGGTCGTCACTCCTTCGTCGAATCCGCCGGCCGCGCCGTTCTCAAGCCCGCCCGCCTCTGCTCACTCAAGGCCGCGGTGTGTGACGCTTTTTCGTTGTGAAAGCGAAACTACTTTGTTTGGCCTTCCAAAAGAGGACACGACTAGAAATCAGTGGTTAAAGTTGTATTTACAACACTGTTCCAGAACAGTTCAATCCAAATATTCCGATGTGTCCAGCGCATTTTATGGAGGACTGTTTCCCGATCCTGGTAGAGTAGACTACAATGCCGGCTGTTCTGACTCACAGACTGTAAGTACGTTTTTTATATTTAAAAAATTTGCCACTGACGATTCAAACACGAGTTTTTTAGGCAGTGTAGAGTAGCACTTTGTTGTTTGTCATTTCTCCGATCACAAATGCAGACATGGTTTTACATCATATGACCTCTTTAACTATTCATTAAAAGAGTTATTTGTTGTTTAAATCATATTACACTGGTAATGCTGTAACTCATTGGAGTCATTTGTTAATGAACTACAATGAAGTTCTAGTGTGATTCCTGTAACAAATTATTTTAATGAATTTGTTATTTTAATGGCTAGTTAAAAAGACAAGCTACTGGTGTGAATTAGTTTCTTGGTTCTGAAGTAATAGATTTCCTTAGAAACCAAAATGCTCCTTTAGGAGCAATAAATGCTCTTTTCTGTCTTTCAGCTGTTTTAAGCAGCCATATGGGAACCCGTGATATGCTGCTAATGATAGAACAGTGTCACCTCCCAAAGATATGATTAAACAATTGAGTTTGCCAACACGTTTATTTCCTTGTAGTGTTGCCATCTTTGTTTAACAGCTATGAAGAAGTAGGTGGATGCATTGAATGACAGCCATAAACCTGAATATGTGTGAATCTGTGGAAATCATCAGACACACAATGTGGGTGGCTGCATTTGCTAATTTGTTATCAAATTGGATTTCATGTATAATATAGTGTGATTATTAATCCACCTATCAACCGGTGGCCCCCAGACGTCAGTGTTCACAACAGGTTTCTTCACTTAAATTAATGATTCGCACCACACAACTGTTGACAACTCACCATGCACTATCAATTCATCATGCTCCAGAATGATATAGCTGTTTTTGTTCCTCCGAAGTCAATTCAGAATGGAGGTTTCTGTCAGAATTGTCACTTCTTGCAGGATATGACCATTTTTTATTATTCTGAGTGTAGTGTTTGTCTCTCTTGTGTCTTACGCTCTCTCTTCCCATCTTTCTTTCTTCCTCACTTCCTCCTCTTCTCTCTCAGATCAGTCAGATGCTGGGGAATGAGATCAAGTTTGCAGTTCGAGAGCCTATGGGACTGAGGTAAGACCACATCCCTGTGCTGTTCCGCTGCGCTCTACGCTGCAGTGCTTAGCGGAGTTTGCTCTTATAAACCTAATTTATTACATTCTGCCTTGGGTCACCAATACAGAAAATAGCAGGCCTTTAATTAAAGCACAGTAATTTTGACAGGCCACAGATGAACCAGCTGAACCCTGAGCTTGAGTATTGTACAAATCCAGCCGCTGTTTTAAGTAACGCGTATTATAACGTGTCTGTCTCTGGACACTAAAGCAAATGATTTATGTAAGAAGAATCTCCTGCGATATTATTAGCTTCTAATTTATGTGCATTAGCTGAGTCGCTTGTGAAGTCGCAAGATCTCAGTTTGAATTTTGCACCATTCAAGAACATAACACATTTCTAGAATATATGCAGTGGGGTCCAAAAGTCTAAAACCACTGTTGAAGCATTTTTTCTTGTTAAATACATTTTTAAATTATAAATTACACTACCGTGCAAAGGTTTGGGGTAGGTAATATTTTTGTGTGTTTTTGAAAGAAGTCTCTTATGCTCACCTATAGGCTGCAGATCAAAAATTCAGTAAAACAGTAATATTGTGAAATATTATTACAAATTAAAATCACTGTTTTCTATTTAAATATATTTTCAGCATCTATTACTCCAGTCTTCAGTGTCACATCATCCTTCAGAAATCATTCTAATATACTGATTTGGTGCTCAAGAAATATTTCTTCTTATTGTTGGAAACAGTTGTGAAACATTTTATTGGACTGTCCTGCTTTTAATATAAGTATTATTCAATAAGCTCACTTAAGGACTTGTTTAGTAAGATTTTACCAGTAACGTTTTAGAATTTTTGTCATATGTAAATGTAACCATAATCGTAACTGCTGTGCTTTTTTTTTTTTTTTTAGTTTTTACTTTACTGTTTTTATTGTAACTCAGTTCTTGGCATGAAAATAGCCTCAGTTGCTGACATGGCTTTAAAAACTATACTACTACAACTACTGGAAACAGTTGTGCCGTTTAATATTTTTGTGGAAACTGTGATGTTTTTTTTTAAAGATTCTTTGATGAATAGAAAGTTCAAAAGAACAGTATTTATTTGAAATGTATTTTTTTGTATAGGTTAAATGCCTCTAACGTTTGATCAATTTAGTGGATCCTTGCTGAATAAATTATTTTTTTTTACAAAAAATGAAGAATGATAGTGTATATTATCAGCATAACAATTGGAGTGAAAATGAAAATGTGGTTTGTCTCTCTTTTGCTGTAATGATAGCAGCACTTTGTAAAACCTGATGATCATATTCTCCAGCATGATTTGAGATGATCCATCTTGAGCTTCAATGGAAGAACAACATCTGACCATCTGTAAAGTGTCAAATAAATGTCACAAATTTGCTTATTTGATTAGTGATCTAAAATTGGTCAGAATCTAAAATATTTCTTGTTCGTTTTACTTTAAAACGTTTCTTTAAGTTTATTTCCAGGTTTAAATGCAATCCCAGATCCAGATGTATCCCAGATATTTCCTCTCAGGCTTTTGAACCCTTCTGTACTGTATATTGTTGCTAAACTTCCCTTGGCATTTTAGAATAGAAAATACATCATCTAAGCTAGTCGTCTTCTCTGCTGACTCTGATGTTTTTCCCTTTCTCAAGGTTATGGATCCTCTTCTCCGCTGTGGTTTTCACAGTCATGGCCCTTATGGTAAGGTTCAATACTTTAAGCTCCATATGTTCTCAGGACTAGTACTCTCTTACTATCTTTAATATCCTAAATGAGTCTATACAGCAATAATTGATTTTAAATGTGTGATTTATAGGCCCTAGCCTTCCCTAACCAGCTGTATGAAGTTGTATTTGATCAAGAACAAACAGCCACCAGTGTCTCTATACGTCTCTATGGAGGGGCCATTCTCAGTAAGTCATATTGATTTCATTCTGTATTTTTAATAACCTAATGATCTCTCACACTCTTAATTAGAGGTTGTCATGTGGTCAGCACATCTATTGATGGGCCATAAAAAGACTCTTCTGAGTCATTTTTTACCCTTCAACTCGAGGCGCTCTTAGAATGTGTGTTTGTGTATTTGTTATGCGAGTAAATGACCAGTCAGCCAGTGGATTGTGAAGAGAAGCGAGGAGGAAATATTCCCTGAGGGGCGGCACGCTCTCCGCTGCTCATTCATTTATTTGCACATTAAATCGGACTCTTTCTGGCCCACTGCAGACAACAAATTTGCACAAATTAGTAGTGCAATTATTCCCTTCTCTATCTGCTCCCTTTTCAAATCTTGCCCTCAAAAATTAAATAGATGAGACATATTTTTAATAATACTCATTTAATTCTCCTGGTAATTGTTAAGTCTGTCAGTATGTGTCAGCCAGCCGCTGTTCTCTGGTGTCTCTGGGTGAACATTTTATGTCTCAGTCCCCCAGTGATAAGTTACCTTTAATTAAGTTTAGTTCACTGGAACAGTGAACATTTGTGTCATCTCACTCAACATTTCCTCTCTCTTAATCTGACATTTCTAAAATTCACTACATTTCAAGTCAAGTCAAGTTGAGCTTTATTGTCATTCTGCTACATGTGGGGACATACAGTGGAACGAAATGTCGTGCCTCACAGGACCACGGTGCTACATAAATACAGGCATACAACAATGAAGTAAAACAGTAAAACCTATACACAACTAGCCTACTGATTGATTTTGACTATAAATATATAAATGTTTACCTATACATAAATGTAAAAAATACAAACTATACGAATGCTTCACATAAACACTGTACCTATACACAACTAACCTACTGACAGATTTTGACTATGAATATACTATATATAAATGTTTACCTATACACAAATCAAAAAAATACAGACTCGTGTTGAAGATATCTGTTAGGACATCTGTCAGCTGCGCAGCACAGTCTCTCAGTATACGGCCAGGTATGTCATCAGGACCCGCAGCCTTGCGTGGGTTAATCCTAGATAGGGTCTTCCTTACGTCAGCTGACTTTTTGATATAAGCACTCACAGTTTCAGTGTACTCCTGCAGGTCTGTGTGGTTGTTGTAGGTGGCTGCCTCTTTAAACATGTTCCAGTCTGTGCACTGAAAGCAGTCCTGTAGAGTTGAGGTAGCATCATCTGGCCAAACTGTGATGAGTTTTTGAACTGGTTTGGCGAGTTTCAGAAGTAGTCTGTATGTTGGAATTAGCATAACAGAGATGTGATCCGAGTACCCTAGGTGGGGGCGGGGTACAGCCTTGTACGCGTTCTTTTCTGTTGTGTAAACAAAGTCCAGTGTGTTTTTTCCCCTTGTTGCAAAGTTCACATGTTGGTAGAACTTTGGCAACACTGTCTTTAAGTTTGCGTGGTTGAAGTCAACATTTATTCATTGGTTTAACTAACTAAACTGTACTAAACTAAAATATCATCTCAACTCACCTCATAAAGAAAAATAAAGTATTTCAAACTTTCTAAAGGGTCATTTATCTTCAGTATACAAATTATAATCCTGGTAGTTTGTATACTGAAGCATATCAATAAATGTTGTGACTTTTGAGATTTGTTTTAATGTTCAGCTGTCACAAGTTGTTCTTGTTTACTTGCACTACCGTTCAAAAGTTTGGGGTCAGTAGGATTTTTTAATAAACCTGTTATTCTTACCAACGCTGCATTTATATGATCAGAAAGCTTTATATGTTAATATATTTTCAAATGTAATTTATTCCTGATGGCAAAGCTGAATTTTCAGCAGCAATTCCTCCAGTCATCAGGGTCAAATGATCCTTCAGAAATCATTCTAATATGCTGATTGCTTAAGAAATTTTTCTTTTTATTATCAATGTTGAAAACAGTCGTGCTGCTTAATATTTATGTGGAAATCAAAATATTATTTGATGAATAGAAAGTTCAAAAGAATAGCATTTATTTGAAATAGAAATCTTTTGTAACATTATAAATGTCTTTACTGTCACTTTTGATCAATTTAATACACCCTTACTGATAAAAGTTAACAAGATCTTACTGACTCCAAACTTTTGAATAATATAATAGTGTACAGTGTATATATATAACACTTTCTCATTTATTTGCCTTCTTTTTGGCAGGTCTCTCTCTGATCTTGTGGAATGGCTTGTACACTGCTGAGAAGGTTATCATCCAATGGACGTTACTTAGCGAGGCCTGCTACTTTGCCATCCAGTTTTTAGGTTTGTCTCAGTAAGAACTAGTCTAATGCATGCTGTGTCTTGTCAGCTCTAGATGGGCCCTTTACTATCATGATGCTACTGCCCTCTAGTGGTTGGGGTTTCTCAATGGATTCATTCAAGTTTAAGTTTAAAGTTTAATTTACTTATATAGCACCATTAAAACAGCGGCAGCTGACCAATGTGCTTTACAGCATCAGATAAAATAAATTTTAATGCAGAACAATCAAAAAAAAATATCACAGATAAAATCAGAGACAAATTATCAACAAGATATCAAAAGAAAATCGGAACAACAGAAGTCGAATTTAAAAAGTACAAGTACATAATTCAAGTACATACAGGTGCATCTCAATAAATTAGAATGTCGTTGAATTATTTCAGTAATTCAACTCAAATTGTGAAACTCGTGTATTAAATAAATTCAATGCACACAGACTGAAGTAGTTTAAGTCTTTGGTTCTTTTAATTGTGATGATTTTGGCTCACATTTAACAAAAACCCACCAATTCACTATCTCAACAAATTAGAATATGGTGACATGCCAATCAGCTAATCAACTCAAAACACCTGCAAAAGTTTCCTGAGCCTTCAAAATCATTGTAACATACATTGTCTATGGCTTGTTGCACATATGCGTTTGGCTGAAACATTTTGAAGAAGTAATATTAATTTCTAATTAAATTATTAAGCTGATATAGAAAAAAAGAGAGCATAGATTAATATAAAATGCCGAAAACACTGGTATGTTGCAATGAAACAGGTTAAGGGGTCTTTATACAAATATATTGCTCAAAACATTACAAACTTTTGAACAGTACTGTAAGTCTAATTAGTCATTGTGATATTTATGATACATTTACCATGTGTTTTCTCCAAACTCTTGATATTTGGATCATGTATATCTTCGCTTCACTATGTTACAGTGACCTCCGTCACTCTGGTGGAGCTGGGCTCCCTACCAAATGCTGCCATCCTCCTCCTCCTCAGTCACGTATTCTTCCTCACTGTCACGCTGACCTACTACTACCATCTGGGACGCCGGCCCAAGAAGATCTGAGAGCCCCACAAGCACCGTTACGACACACCTGGTGCTTGGGGAGTTGAGTGACGGGCCACTGGGCTGGAGTTTCCATCAGAAGCTTTGAACAGTGACACGACCAACAACATCAACCTGTTCACCTGGCGTTGAGCCCTACCACAAGGACAACGCCAACCCCAAGGCCTTTATTTTGATTTCAGCTTACACAATAGAGTTTGCCTTTACTGAGCAACTCCATCTCTTTTTGTTTTGTTTTCTTTTTTTTTAATGGGAAACACTCACAATATGGTCAAATGAATTCCATTTTTCTTTCGGATAGTGCAGTCACAGTGTAGCCCTCCTCATTCACCGTTTATCGTGTAAAGTATTGCACACTGTAGCCGAGCTTGGACTGCTGGTGTAATTGTCTGTAGCTATGGTATCAACAAAACTGTAAATCATTTCATGTAATAATGCCAATGACTTTGAGCTCCTAGTCATGTGACGTGCGTGAGGGTGGCTAGAAAACACTAGAATGTGTGTGTTTTACGTGCAGGTCATTCAGTGTTTGAGCAGTAAAAACATTGTTCCTGGTTGGTGTATTTTGTATCAATACTGTATCACTGAACTAGGAACAACCTGCTCTACATCGAATTAGTTCTTATATGGGAATGGTTATGAAAAGCATAGTTATACTTTATGGATGACAGACACAACAGGTTCATTACTTCGCTTAGTCGGCTAGTTGGTGCATGGACTGTTTCAGGAACTTCATTGTTAAACAGTGAATGGGTTTGAACTAATTATTCATATTTCAGATAACAACTTTATCCATTTTTTTCTTAGTGTCAAGTTCGTTTTCATCAAGATGTCAGTGTGTATGAACAAGAAACCTTTTTCGTTTAGTAATGCCACAGAACATGGTTGTGTAGCACAATGACATGTTTCTTTCATTTTAACAAGCAATGTAGCAGTATTTTCCCTCACTTTTCCCTAATATTGCCTTAATATGCTAAACTACACAAGCGTTCCACGTCAGCACACTGCCAGGTGTTTGTATTCTTCAACTGATCTGTATATATATTTTTTTTGTTGATTTGCAGTTCTCCAGTTGCTTATTTATTGGCCTGCCTAAAAGTTTTTGCATAAGTTAATTTATATATATGTTTAAGGTTTGTGGTATAACTTGCATGTTTATTGTCTGAGTTGTTCAGTCCAGAAATGATCTTGTATGCCCTTGATAACAAGTCGTCTTGTGCGAGTTCTGAGACAAACTGCAAAATCAAAATGAATCGTGTGTATGAAGTTACATGTTTGCTGCCTTGTTTGTATTTGCTGTTATTTTCCAAAGTGTCCATTAGTACAACAGTGACAACCCATGAAAAGCATAATAGAATTGGAAGCATTTTATAACTTTAATAGCATAACTTGGATATTGGAAAAACGTTGATTGGCTATATGGAAGGAAGGAATACATTTCGGAAGAACCTGTACGGTAAATATCTGTTGTTAAATGTTGCGTATGAAGCTACCGTGCTGTTGGTTGTTTTCAAATATGATAGAGCTTCAGTGGAGAAACAGTGTGTGTGTTTATGTACAGTATGTGGACAAAAGTAGCAGTTACTCTTGGCAGGGTTTAATTAGGTTTTGCATTTAACCCAGCCCAACTCCAAACCTCTGCTTACACATGGCTCAAAATAAGTAATAAAGAAGTTCAAAGGACCAGCATGGTAGAGGCTCATGTTTCTTTCACAAGCCAGTCTGATTTAGACTATTTGTTGTCTTTACATGGGAACAAGGTTCATAGTTCAAATCTCAGTACAAACCTTTCCTCTCGCTGTCCTGTAGATACATTTTCTTTGACACAAAACCAAATCAGTCCTAACTAGTAATTCAGAATAGGCAAGGCTGTTACTGGATGTTCTGTTCCTCTCATTAAAAAGCAAGATCTCGTCCCTCTTAACACTCGCCCAGCTAAATATGATGCTGGCAAATGCCAAACATGAATCATTTTGTTATTCACAGCTCCTGATGAGAATTGTGTTGTCATGCAATTAGAAATAATATCCAGTTAGCTGCTAGTGGCTTCAGCTGTCTGCCGATGGTATACATAATGCCTCTGAAGGGATGTTAATGTACTTTTTAAATGTGTGTAAATATTTTATTGAAAGATACTACTGTTATGGACCTGCATCGTTAACTTTTTGGAATAAAGAAAATGTACATTTATTGCAACTGTCATTCAAGGTCTTTTTTTTTTTTTTTGTGGCCAAATAATGCATGACTTGAATAATGAGCTTTTACTTCACACTAGCTTTAGCCTTTTGTCGGCATATACAACAGCTTGTTTAAAACGGAACTTGCCTGGAACTATTAAAAAAGGAAAAGAGACCTGTATGGTTATTTGTAATGACCTTGGTGCATTGTATCACATTAAAGGTATTCTAGGAACTGTTTTTTGTAGTTTTTCCTAGAATTTTTAACCCCCTTGAGCACTTGTATTAGTACTTATTAGTACTTTGTATTATTAGTATCCTTTTCATAGCTATTCTTCATAACTGTAACTTCATAACTATACTAAATATACATTTAGATTTGCCAAATTGCAAATTAGAAGTGCCAAATTTTCAGAAAATGCAACTTCATATTATTTTATATGTAATAAGTTTTACTCTATTATCATTGCGCTTTTGTGTAATCTTCACCCTTTTAGGCTAATTTTTGTTCTTTTTGAATGAATAATCTAGCTCAAGTAGATTAATCTCACACATTATTAACAAATGTTAACGCTTTTTACCAATAGATGGCAGAATTGTCAAAACAATATATGACTCCATGTCTGATAATTTGCATTGTAACAGTAATGGGATCAGACTTCAGCAGTTCCAGCTCGTATCATAGAAAATTACATTAAAGTTGTATGTGAAATAAAAATGTTGACTCTTTTAATGAAAATGTGTTTGGTATACATAAACAGGCTTTAACCTTACACTTAACAGAGACTTGAATTTGATAAAAATTCCTAACCCTAACCCAACAGGCTCAGACAGATAGATATACCATACTCTAAAATGAGTTTACACACAGCTGCTCTACTAACAAATTTATGCCTGGATAGAAACCTGTATCTTATAACTGATAAAAGTTGCATAACTTTAATGTTCATCATGCAGATTAGGGCCATATGTGTGTATGTGTGTGTGTGTGATAAAATGGTGATTTTTGACCATATTTCCATTCCGTAGCTGTAAAACACAAAACCCAATGTTTAAGATGTGGAATGAGTTTCTTCGGAAATACCAATTACGACAATAAAACGGGAGGAAATTTTCCACCTCTGTCATAAAATATGTAATAAAACGGACAGAACCATCCTGAAAACAATATTTGAAGTATATCCTTTCAATGTATTACAGTAGGAACAATAGCTAGCGGGCAGAGCTCCAGTGTTGGGAGTAACGCGTTACAAAAGTAATACATTACAGTAAATTATTACTTTTTGCTGTAACGCAGTAGTGTAAGGCATTACTAATCAATTTTCAGTAATATTTTACTCGGTACATGTTCAGTAACGCATGCGTTACAACACACTTTTAGCCCAAAATTTAATTGTTCAAAGAAAAAAAAAAACAGCAAGACCGCGAGACATTAACGAATCAAAAATGCCGCAAATAAGTTCTATTTCCTGTTCGTGGTCAGTCAATAGCCGCGTGTGGTGCCTAAGTTTGTAAATAAAGACTAAACGACAGCTTCTGATATATTTGTTTAGCGATTTATTTCACTCATCTCCCGCTCGCTGGTTGAACTTTGAAGTGTGTGACGTAGTCCAGTGAAGGCGTGTTTAGGGCGGAGTGCCGCGAGCAGTGTTGCCAACTTAGCAATTTTGTTGCTAAATTTAGCAACTTTTCAGACTACCCTAGCCACTTTTTCTTCCAAAAGCACCTAGCAACAAATTAAGCAATTTTTTAAATT